GCACGTGAGATGATGCCGACGGCCCCTCGCCGATGGAGCCCGGGAGCCGCCCGGGCCGGAGGGGACCCAGCCCACCACCACACTCCCCCAGTGCCCTGCTGCGGGACTGGGGCAGATCCGGGATGGCGTGGGCAGGGACCCCTCGGAGCCTCCCGTGGGGCTGCCACGGTCCCCGGAGCCGCTGGAGCTCGGCTCGGCAAAGCCCCGTGCGGCGCAAGATCCCAGCGGGCCGATGCGGCACGGCAGAGCCGTGAGCAACCACCTCGCTGCCTCCTCCGCTTTTCCCTGGGCCTGCAGATGCCATTCCTGCCAGCGAGGTTATGTTTGTCTGGGGGAAAGAAAGGAGCTCTTAACCAGATGGTGGGGCTAATAAATTGTTCAGGAAAGGCTAACCAGTACATGCAGCCCGCGTTTCCTCTGCGTATGTAATGCAAAGTGCCAAAAGAAATCTGTCTCAGGAATTATTTCAGAGAGGGTAATTTCTGTTTCCCAGTTGCTGTCATACATTAGAAATATCTGAAATGCCTCCAGTTGGTTACCAGTGGTGAGGAGCAGCCAGGGGCTGCCATGGATGAGAAGCACTAAAAGAAAATAAATTAGCCTCTTGCACTCGGCCCTTCCCTCAGCTGCTGAACCACAAGTGACGAGCGGCTGTTGCTTAAGTAATGACCAGAATAATGAGGAGAACAGGATCCGCAAGGGAATATTAACTCAGAGAAACAACATTTTCTCCCCCTTTTGAAGTTTTCCCCCAGCAGCCCCTGTCCTGGTGCAGAGGTGGGCCGTGTCCCGCCGGAGCTGGCAGGGAGGGGTGCCAGGGGCGGGTGTCGAGGCTCTGCCTTCCCTCCCCTCACCCATCCGGGGCTAGTCTGTCTCCTCTGGGATTAGCCAGGTGTAAACTCCCTCACGCTTCCCAAAACCACCCAAACCCAGTTGCCTGCAGCCAGGGAACCCCACGGACGCTGGTCAGCACCGTGCACACCCCAGCCCTGCAACGAGGGAAAAGGCCGGGCTGCAGCTGAACCGCTTGTTCTCCAGCAGCCTGGCCCAAATTAATCTCAGCAAGGAGCTGGAGCAGCCAGAAGCTCATTGATGGCCACGCCTGAGCCCTCGTTTCCAGGGGATGGGGGTGCCCGCAGGTAACGCGCAGGAAGGGCAGGAGCCGCAGCGCGGGGGCCGCTCGCAGGGAGCCGCAGCCGAGCAAACACGGGACCCGCTGGTGAGCACCTGGGAGTCAACCAGGAGAGAGGAACAGCCAGCGCGGGTCTGTCACGAGCACCTCGCCTCATCCCACCCGATTTCCCTCCAGGACAGGGACCGTGGGGCTGGCGGGGCCAGGTGCAGGTGATGCAGCGCTGTCTGCGGGAGCAGCAGCGGGACGCAGAGAATGGGGCCTCACGCTGCTTTGGATCCGTTTTATTGCCGTCACTCTGCCCGGCACCGCGGGCGCCCTGCCAGCGCCGGGGAGCTGCAGCCCTACCCGTCTGTCCCCACAGTGCCCCCAGTTCCCGGGGCTCCCCTTGCTGGGATTTCGTGTTTCAGAGCCGGGCGGGCGCGTTTGTCCTGTTCGTGCAGGCATGGCCCGGGTTTGAGCCCCGCTGTGTTGCAGCGAGCGTTGTGAGGAGGTTCATCCCTCTGATGATGTAAACCAGGAGCACTCCTGAATTTCAATTCCTTTATCTCCTCTGGCTCTGAGTCATCTGGGGAACATTACCCTGACTTACTGCTCCTTGTTTGTATCCACTAACAATTATATGGGGGTGCAGTTTGGAGAACTACCTCATTTCGCAGTGTGTGATAAATGACAGAAATCTTCTTTCCCATTTAGCAGTTTGTTAGATACCTGTTGCAGCTGCAGCTATCCCCAGGAGGACGCGTGTTCACTTAATGTGTCGTTGCAGGGAAAACAAGGCATTCTTCTACTAAAAAAAGGCAAAGAAACAAACCTAAATGGGGCTATAAGTTTTTCTTTGTCTTCTTTCCCTCCAACACCCTTTTCTATCCATCCCACACGTGTGTGCGTTAGGGAAGAAGACATTTCACGTGTGCTCTCCCCGAGGGAAATACCGGCCTGGCTCCATCTCAGACTTTCCCGTGGGTGTGATTACCCCGCCGGGAGCTGGCGCAGGGCTGTGCCACCCAGCTCTCTGTGCCAGCAGCGCCGCGGGCAGGGTGGCAGCCGCCGCCTCAGCTGGCAGGGGCGGCACGTCTTGCCCCCGATGGTGCGGACCACCGCAGGGGCCTCCAGGGAGGGGTTTCGCGGTGCTGGGCTGGTCGGAGGGATGTAACGGTCCTGGCAGCCACATGGCCTGTCCCCGGCTGCCCCCGCGCTGTGACCGTCCCTCCGGCTGCCCCCGCGCCCGAGCCGTGGTGAGCAGCGGGCGGCTGTTGCGTTCGTAATGCAGACGTGCGCTTCTGCTGGGCCTTCCCCACCGGGCTTCCTTGGATTTGTGTCAGTATAAGATTTTCTCGCTCCTAATCCTCCGGGGTCAACGCGGTGCAGAGGAATCTGCCTCCGCTGCCTCGGCTCGGAGCGGGATCACCGCTGGCCTGCGGGCTGGGCTGGAGCCTCGCGCCCCCGGGA